TTCCCCGACGCGTTTCGCCCAGGCTGCGCTACTGCCACTCCTCAGGGGGCTTCTCCCAAAATCGCCTTGCGTCACCACCTCCCTTTCCGACCTTCTCTCAGAAGAATGACAAGAAGAAGAACAAGAAAAAGAACAAGAAAAAGAACAAGAAGAGAGAGACGGAGGAATAGAACAGAAGTTTCGCCAACTGCCACAGACGCCAATCATCCAACTCGCCTATGCACGCACAACATTTCAATGTCGATTTCGCTTTCGCATATTCATTAAGAGCCCCCCGGAGCGCACAAAATTTGAATTGGACTCTTGCTTTTGAGGGGCCGCCCTTGGTTGACATTTCACGGGGGGGGGTGGGTGTTCAATCACGACCTTGTGACAGAACTGGGTCATACATGGACAGTCGGACACATCACACTATCATCAGATACACATACACGTATATAACCGTCGAGAACCGCCAGGTGGCCCCTCGGCGGAAAGGTAGAAAGGGACAATAAAAATGGGGGCTGTACAGTGTTTGGTCGGGGTGTATATAGAGGTTTTGAACAGGGGGAGTTGTAAGTAAGAAGATAAAAAATGAATTGACTTTTTTCTTGTTTTTTTCGCTTTTGCGCTCTGATATCTGTGTGATGATATATATACCGCACCCACCTCTCTGAGGGTATCTGTTGTCGGGCAGTCGTTGATGGACTATCACTTTCAGTATCATCGGTTAGGGGGCTCTGCAGACAGCAGAGGGTTCAGCCTCCTGATGAGTCGGTGAAACTCCGACGAAACAGTCTGTCACAGCCCCTTGTTAGATGTCCTCTTCTCCCTCTGCATACGGGCTACAGGGCAGTTCTGTTCGACGATATAGATAGATAGAAAGATAGGTAGATAAGTAGATATCTACCTATCTACCTATCTAATCGATCTCTCTACCTATCTGTCTATCTGTCTATCTGTCTATCTATCCATCTATCTATCTATCTGTCATAAATGTATCTATGTATCAATCTATCTATCCATCTGTCTATGTCTATGTATCTATCTATGTATGTTTCTAGATAGATAGATAGATAAATAGGTAGATTAGATTAGATTACATAGGTAGATAGATAGATAGATTAGATTCGATAGATAGGTAGATAGGTAGATAGGTAGCTAGCTAGCTAGATAGATAGATAGATAGATAGATAGGTAAGTAGATAGATAGATGATACATAAATAGATAGACATCAATCGTCAAACAGAACTGCCCGGTAAACCGTAGGCAGAGAGGGAGAAGAGGACAACAAACGAGGGGCCGTGACAGTGTGGGATCTTGACAAGAAACGGAGGGCTGTAACAGACTGTTTCGTCGACAGTATATATATATTGTCACTCTTTGAACCGGAGCGCAAAGGCGGAAAAAAGCGAAACAAGGAAGGGAAAGAAAAAAGTCAGGAAGGAAAGCCCCACCTGTTCATCACCTCCTACGTACAAGGCCAGCCACGTGGATGACAGGTTGAGCGCTGGCTGCCCCCATCCCCGTGTGTCACAAGGACCAAGGACCCACTTGCACGCAGCCAAAAGGCAAAGAGGTAAAGAAAAGGAGGAAACCAAACCTGACAGGGAAAGAAAGAAAAGCCAATTGTCACAAAGCAAATAACACATCCCACAGAACAACATTTCTTTTTTTCTTTTTTTCTTTTTTTCTTTTTTTCTCTTTTTTTCTCTTTTCCTTTTCTTCTTTTTTTCTTTACCTGTCCCCACATTGTCACTCTTTGAACCGGAGCGCAAAAGCGATATTAAGAACAAAGGAAGAGAAAAGAGAAAGGAAAAGAAGAGGCACGGAAAGCTCCGCCTGTTCATAACCTCTTACGTACAAGGCCAGCCACGTGGATGACAGGTTGAGCGCTGGCTGCCCCCATCCCCGTTTGTCACAAAGACCCGCTTGCACGCAGCCAAAAAAAGAGGTCAAGAAAAGGCGGAGGAAACCAAACCTCACAGAAGAAGAAAGCCTATTAAACAGACAAAGCAAGTGACACATCCCACAGATAATCCAATTACCATCCCACAGAACATATTTTTCTTTTCTCTTTTTTCTTTTTCCTCAGGTTTCTTGTTTTGTGTTTTTCCTTCCTTGGTTTCTTTCTTTATGTATTTATTTTTTATCTTTTTACTCGGTTTCTTTTTTTATCTGTTTCTTCTACACTTTATCTGTCACCCCCTCGGCAGAGAGGACAACTACGGTGAGGATGCCGGGGATGTTCACAGGGATACCCAAGGAGAGTTGCGTCAGTACAGCATTCAGCCGAACGGCTAGCACGAACCATCCCATCGAAACAATCCCGACATAGGACATATATATATATATTGTCACATGATATCAGAGCGCCTAAGCGAAAAAACCAAAAAAACAAAAAAAATCTTAAATTCGTTTTTAATCTTCTTCCTTACAACTCCCCCTGTTCAGAACCTCTTGCGTACAAGGCCGCCCACGTGGATGTAGGTTGAGCGGCGGCCCCCACCCCCGTGTGTCATATCGACCCACTTGCACACAGCCAGAAGGCAAAGAGGCAAAGAAGAGAGGAAGGGAACAGCCAAATGAAACAAATAGAA